CCCCCTTCTCCTCGCTCCCCCGCGCCAGGGGCGCGCCCGCCCCGCAGAAATGCCCCCGCACGCAGGTGCGCCCGGGCACCCGCCCCCAGCCCCTCGCATGCACAGCACCCCGGGCACCACTGGCCCCTCCACGGATATGTCCGCGGGCCCGATCCTGCCCCGCTGGAAGCCCGTTACCAAGCCCCAGGGTGGAGGGGGGGAGGAACCCGTCTCCGGGCGGCACCTACACAGGGGACGGGCCCCGGGGGCTTTGGTGGGGGAGCCGGGCCGGGGGAGCGAAAAGCTCCTGTCCGCACGACACGGATCTGGTTTGGTCGGGCAGGCCTCGAGCCGGCCCCGCGCCCGGCGCACCCGCCGCCGCCCCCCGCAGCGCTCGCCGCCCTGCATTCACTCCACTTCCTAAGCCGCGGAGTGCCCTGACTGCTCGTTTAAAGCTCTGGCAGACACAATTCTTGGGCTAGAGCCGATGTCTTTTATCATCAGACCAACTAAATAACAGCAAAGCAATTTTCTTTTCTTTGCAAGGGTCCAAACACCCTTGGTCAAAGCAGAGGAGAACTCGAAGTTTGTAAAAGTTCTCCCAGGTAGAAAAGGTAATTTGCTTCCAGGTGATTTGTTTCAAGGTCATTTGCATCATGACAGATCCTCACAGGAGGTACGAGGCTTCATACCATCTGTGAGCTGACTGCCCAGAGGAGTTTTCCATTTATTGACTCCTCCGTGAAATCCTATGACATATGAACTTTCATTTCTACCCAGGAGAACTTTTACAGTCTTTTCTCCAATGCCTGATGAAGAGTGTTTGTGCCCAAAAGCTTGCAATTAAAGACATTTTTTTTGCAAAAATCTTGTTGGTCTAATAAAAGATATAATCTTTACCACAAGCCCTGATTGCCCAGGTAGAAAAGAAACTTCATCTATCACAGGGGATGGTGGGGCTCCCCTAGGTTTCAAAGTCCATTTGTGAAAGGGCTGCTCTGTGACTACGCAGATTAGACAGAGACAAGGCTCCACCAGGCTTCTTCCTTAAAGGTGTCAGGTGTCAGGCAGGGAGTTGAATTTTGCTGCTTTCCTGTTTAGCAATGAAGTTTCCATTTCCAAATGGCTAATTACGATATCTTCCATGTTTCAGGGATATAGGTTGAACTCTTGGGCTAGAGGTGATATTTGTTATTACACCAACAAAATAGTAGCAAAAAATGTTTTTCTTTGCAAGTTTTCCGGTCCAAACACCCTTTGATGACATTTTTTTTGCTAATATTTAGTTGGTCTAACTAAAGTTTAGACCAACAGTGCTACAACCTATATCCCTGAAACATGTAATGCTGTAGTTTTTAGGGCCCCCTGCTGCAGCCCAGTGGTTCTCTACCTCTCCAGGCTGAAGGCAGCCCTCAGAAGGTGCCAGCCCAGAGCCGTTGCTTGTTTTCTCAATAAGGTCAAATAATAAAGCAAGTTTCTGCTTGCCAAGAGCTCAGTCAGATCACATCAGGGCTGGGGGGAGGGGTGGGACAGTTGTCACACTTGGATACCTATTTGAAACATTTGGGTTTATCTTGTGTATTACCTCTGTGAAACACCCAACAGTGTTAGCCCTATGTGGCACCCCGCAGCACCCTTGAAAGGATCTCAAGGCACCCCAGGGTGCCTCAACACTCTGTTTGAGAATTGCTGCAGTAGCCTCTTGAAGTCCTCCCTGCCACTTGCATCAGCCAGTGGGCCTGGGTTTGGCCTCCTGTGGTTAGATTTGTGCTTATCAAACCCAATCTATTGCAATGACGAAGACCTAAAGGGAATGCATTGCCCTGTGATGCAGGTGATTGGCATACGGTGCCTAATCCCATGCTCACTGCTATCAGGGAATAGGAGGATGCAGTGGAGACAAAACATTTAAGCTAGAGGGTGTATCTGTATTATTTGACAGAGCTCTCTCTGGATTTGGTAGGAAGTGGTGGTGACTTGAAACTCATATATTAAAGTTACATCCATTTTACCCCTCAGCACAAATTTGCACTGAAATATAGAAGTTTTACCCAAGAAAATCCAGAGTACTATAGGATGTGCTGTTGCTAATACCTTCTTTGGTCTCCTTCTCCTGAAGTAAATACTAACCCAGTGCCCCAATCAGCTTGAAGAAGAGTAATAATATTGTTTGGGTGAGATGTAAGGCAGAGATCCTAATCTTGCGTACTCATCAAATGTTCCCTGAAGTGGGTTTTTTTTTGTTGCAAAGATGGGGTTGCTAATAATCATACTCCTCCTGCAAAAATTACATCTGCAGGGTTAGTCAGATACAGTATTTTTTTCACTGTCTACCATTTCCTGGTGAGCAATGCTG